GAACTGCATACTTCAATCATTTCTCATATATTCATAGGGTTGCACAACTATCACCATTATCAATTTGGACTACCATTTACAATACATACTTATTTAATTTCTAAATTTTATGTAACTAAAGAGACCTCTGTTCTCTCAAGTTGGGTTGATTGAGCCTATTTCAATAATAATTTTGTATACAAATAATAAAGAGGTAAAAGAAGTGACTCTTTATTTAGCATCATTAAAAAAAGTCACAGGGAATGTCACAGAAGCATGGTTCCCAGGGATAGTGACCTTAAAGGGAAGCATGGATTTTCTGAAAATAGGACAGGTTCTCTCCAAATCAGCCCAATGGGAGCAAATCTGTATCTTTAACTTCATTACTGACAGTAAACTTGCAGTAACCCCAGGAAGCACAGAGCCCGAAGGTTCTGAAGAACAAATTAAGATAAGTTACAGACTAGCCAAGCAGAAATATTCTGTGAGACCTTTCACTAGTAAACTAAGATACTTCAGGGCTCCAATGATTCACTAATTAGGACTAATATGATAAAAACCACCCAATTTCAGGTTCCTTTTCTCTATTATTCACAAAGATGTTAGGAAAGCTATCTTCATCGATAGGTATAGTCCTGATCCACCCAACACACAGTATTCATATAAATAAAATGGGGGTAAACACATGCTCCAGAGATGATGTCACATTCACTGGGCCAAGGTGCCCATGCCCTATGTCCTACTTGAGGCTTGACTGTATGAGAAAACATCCATCCCCACAGCAATGACTGACTGCAATATTTATAAGAATCACCTTTGAAACATCACAGTGGAGAAGATAAGACCTTTGTGGTTCTAGTGGGCAATTGCAACTACCTCGCTGCCTCTTCCTAGGCCTCCTCTCCTCCTGCCTGGTCAGCATCCTTTGCTCTGCTGGAGTGACTGACTGTATGCATGCCCCTGTGTTGACTGAATCTGGCATTCACAGGCCTGGGTTCAGCTCATCCCAGACAGACAACCCTGAAAGATTTCCACCTTACCATCATCTCACCAACAAGGGACACTCTAGCTTAGAGAAATCATGTAATTTCATCACAGCCCCAAAGCTATAGCTTTGTGTCGGATCAAAGTATCATTGTTGTGAGTTCAAGATTTTTACAACACCTACACTGCACCAGAGGCTGGAATGCAAAGTCTTGGCCTTTCTCTGCTCCTCTTCTTCTCTCCAAGGAGGCATCTCCCTATGCTTTAGGTGCAAAGCTGTGTTATTATGGTTCTAGCACTGTATGCCTTTCCCTGTTAGGTAATCCCTCCTGATGAGAAACTCTCACTGATGGTCACTCAGAAAAGCTAAGACTGGGGTGTGGGTAGAATTCCCTTTGACCTATAACTTCAGGGCCAAAGGCACTGATAGATATCATTATGACTTCCTGGTAGGTGATTAAAATATTCAGAGTGTTCAATGAGATATGAGATAAGAATTTTCGAGCTGTAAACTTGGAGAGAACGTAAAGGAACATGTGATAATTATATGGGACATATAGGAGTAAAAATAAACCTTCCTGGATATTACCTTAATTCCAACAGTTCTGCCTAGGCTTCTGACTTTCATTTTCCTTAGTCTGGCTCCACAGAACTATCTATCTCTCTGTTTTGGGGAAATATATAAATCATTTAACTCATAGATCTTGCATTCAGAGATGTCACAAGAAGGTTCACAGGGGACAAAGGTTTAAAACCATAGATATCTGAGTAAATGGTACAAACCAAACTGGGCATGGTGATGCACATCTGTAATCCCAGCACTTGTGAGGTGGGATTGTTGAGGCAGGAGGATTGTTGCAAGTTCAAGACCAGCCTGAGCTACAAAGTGAGCTCAAGGCCAGCCTGAATTGCACAGTGAGGCAATTGTCTCAAAAAAGACAAAAAAAGGGCACAAACTAAAAAGAACTAAGAACTGAAGAAATCAGTTAGGGAGGCACAGAAAACTTCAGGGAAGTAGAGTTACCTGGATACTTGGAGGCAACAACATAAAACAGGGACACACTTACTCCATGACTATTCACTGAACACCTTTCTCTAATTTCTTGGTCTTAGTATGGAACTCTACTATATAAGTGTTCCTCCATATGGTCACTCATGGCACTTGCCCTGTGTGTTGCAGCTTGAAAAAATAATCTGTGCTCAGAGAAGCCTGAGAATACTACACTAAAGCCCTCACTGAAGAGAGCAATGCTCAATGGTGCCCTAAAGGCTCAAATAAATCTAGTAGTAGAGAAACTCTTTCTGGGTTAATCCAGAATTATTCAAATTAATTTGACCACAGAGTTATTTTTTATATGTCACCTATGTCTATACTGAGAAACTACTTTTCAAGGGAACATACTTTAAGAAACATTGCCTTACACCAGACCTCTGCAGCAAGAGGGAAGATTACTGGAATGCAGGAATAGGGACAGATATCCAGATATTTCACTATGTCCACAAGAGAGATAAGTAGCAACAAAGCAAAAGTAGCATAGTAGCAGGAAGACCCAACAGACCCTGGTGAAGGATTAGGAATAACTAGATGGGATTTCCTAATATTTGAAAGCTAACCTTAGCGCAGACAATATCACTAAGGCACGATACCAGCTCTACATGTGCAAGTAACTGACAAGTTCACCGAAAACCACAGAGCAAGCAACTGGCATTTTACATTTCTATTGTTCAAAACCTCTTATAAGGTCTTAAAGGTCAGATTAATGGGCGTGGGTCTTACAGGTTGTACTATAATCCATACTATCTTTAAAGCTTCAGTTTTTTTTCTCTCTGCAGTGCAGTTTAGGATTATGGTACTTTCAATTCACTCATAATTACTCCCTATTCTCCTTTGATCAAGGGGAGGAAGGACGCTGAGAAGTGTTCCACTTGGTGGCTCCACTGCAGTAGGACTTGCTTTTTCATCTCTTCATGTTCTATGCTCTTTCCAATCCAACTGTGGAATCCAAAAAATTCCAATGCTCTGGGACAGCTCTCTTCTCAGATATCCTATCGTCCTGCCCAAACCATCAAAATACTCCACAAATTATACCTCATGATCCAGTTCATTTTTCCCTTTTGAAAAAGGCACAGAGATTTTTTTCCCCTCAAATTCCACAGTCAATTTAATAGATCATAAGATTTTTAGGACACTTTGATATTGTTTGGAAACTGTATAGATGGAATAGAAATATTCTAAAGAGTTTTTGCCCATCCAGATCAAAGCAAATATCTACAACTATAACAAGAACCGTTCTTTCAGGGTAAGTGAAAATTTCAAGGGAATTTAGTATGAAATCACTGTCAGAAAAATTGTAAATATGGTATGTGATATATGAACTCAGCCACTGAATTCCTTGATGGACAGACACATAACATGCATAATCCAAAATGGCAGAACACAACATATCATTTATTTTGGGCTTTTAGCTAAATCTACTTTTCTTCTTAAACATAGCTCAGTATGAAGCCAGGAGGAAACTGTTTGTCTCCATGTAATAAAACCCTATTCGGAAAGCCACATTTTTGGATTCCTCCCTCGCTTTGCTTAGTAACAGTCCATGCACCTAAAGCTCCTCTCTCTGATATGCAAAGCATCAGTCCAAATAAGGAGGCCACCTCTAAAGCAGGTAGATGTTCAGGAAAGTTCAGATACATTAACTTTCTTGCACAGAGAGAAAGAACATGGGAGGAGAGGCCTTTTACTGTTATCCCAGTGGCTCTCCACCAGAGGTGATTCTGCCTCCCCAAGGAACATTGGGCAATGTCTGGAGATATTTTTGGTTGGCACCACTATGGGAAAGGGATGTCACTAGTGACACAAAGCAGATCCAGAGATGGTGCTTACCGTCTAGGAATGTACAGAACAGCCCTCACAACACAGGATTATCAATTCTAAAATATCAATAATGCCAAGGTTGAGAAATTACAATGCACACAAAGAAAATGATATATAAGCACCCTCAATAAACCTGAATGTAATAATTACCTGGATGACAGGCATGATGGGTTCCAACATGATAAGATAACCTGGATATCCCAGCTGAATGCCACATTATGAAGACTGTTAAGCTTAAGGACTAACTACTAGCTTTCAAATCTGCTAACGAATGTGGTGAAGTAGAAACGTGCTGGATTAAAGCCGTACAGTAGGCCATCGTCCTGAATATTGTATTCTGCAATCTAAGAGCTCAAAACAGTGAGGCAGAACTGTTATAACTGTCTCACTCTCTTTTCAAAAATGGAAACCACAGATAGTTAAACCATAAAAATAAACAGAAGGTACCAGTGGGAGAACTAAATCCACTGTGACAATTGAGAAAGAGCTCTTAAATGAGAATGATTTCATAGCCTAAAGTTGATCATGCTAATTGCTGGGTAGTTTACTGTGGCACAATGCTAATGATGTTCTTGGCAATGTGTATTCTTTTCAATGAGCTATGTCACAGGATTTACCCACACCAACAAAATATCAAGACAGTCAAAAAAAATTGTGAATTTCGGGGCTGGGGATTTAGCTCAGTGGTGTAAGTACCTTCCTTGCAAGTGTGCGGTTGTGAGTTCGATCCCTGGTACTGATAAAAATGAAAAAGACCAAAAAAAAAAAAATTGTGAATTTCAAGAGACATGGAGTATATCAGAAAGTAGTCTCTGAAATAAAATAGAAATCAGCTTCCCAAGCAAGATAAAAGGAAAACTATCTTTACTGTCATCTATCATCAGCTTTCAGAAATCCGAAGAGCTATCATATGTTGTGGAAAGAGAAAACTAATAACCCAAGTGTGAAATACTTTTATGCAATGTGGAAAGGAAATGGAGATGCATAATATGTTAAAAACCAAGGATACTAAAAATGCAAAATGCTGCTAACTTTACACTAAATTTTAAAACTGTGAAAACCAAACTGAAAGGCATTCTGAGTAGTTTGCTACCAGCTGTTTATTATTTCACGTGTTCTACTGTAGAATTAATAAAGTTTTAGAAGAAGGAAAAAAACTAACCTTAAGGTTATCAAAGGTTTTGACAGTCTGCGCCAAGTCACTGACACTCCCTGATGATGCTGTCCCCTGTCCCCTAGGGCCTGAGGACACCCGTGAACCGTCAATGGCCTCAAAGCCAGAAAGCAAGGCCTCTGCACAGCTGCAATGAGACTCCTTGGCTCTCTGACCCGAAATCAGGTATGTCTTCAAACCTATGATGGATAAAAATTACAATCAGCACAGATTGAAACCACGGTTGGTTGAAATGCAGCTTGATCTTGCTCTCTGTGTAGAACACACTCCTGAAAGGTGGGAAGTAAAGTGAAAACGTGTGTCATTATTTTACAGCTGCCTTCCATGGACTTCTCAGACAGATGTAGCCTCAGGGAGACCATATGCCTCCAAGATATACCATTTACTTACATTTTTTTCCCTGAATAATGGCTGTATATTTTACCTCCAGGGGCTAAAATAAGCAGTAAAAAATTCCTGTATGAAAAGGTCCTGTGACCTCTTTGTGAAAGCAGCAAAGCAGATTGATGGTCAGTTCTATACAGTGCTTAGATTGATTTTAATCTATAAACCTTCATTCCAAATAAGGGACTGTCCTGATACAAAGATGGCTTCAAATTTACATAGGTCCCTTCATCCAGCCAACTGTTTATCTGCTTCCTGCTCAATTCCAGCACTTCAAGAAAAATACAGAGAGATTTTCCTGGAGGCACGTGGCACCTAAAGCAGAGAGGAGGCTTAGAAATTAGACTTGAAGAGCCCTGAGCTTACAAGGACAGCAATGCTGTCATAAGGCTGAGCACACCCTCTGCATCATGACCCCTGATACATGCCTCGATGCACAAAACCCTGAGGTTTGTCATAGGTTGGTAATTAGGATACAGGTTGCTGTTCATTCAAGAACTTATTAAGCACTCCTTTGTCTATCATACACTGTGCCAGGTGTAGGGAGAACAAAAATGGATGCTCCAACCATGGTTGCAACCTGGAGCCTATCATCTGTAGACGGGCTGAATAACAAGCACGTTTGATTGTGGTCAAGTTGCCAACGCATAGGATGAAGGCATTTGGGGTGCTCCAGGGCACATGAGAGAGGGACACCTTACAAAGACTCAGAAAGGAAGAAATTCTGATTTGAAGTATCTCCTCCAGCTGGGCACAGTGGTACACACCTGTAATCCCAGCTACTTTGGAGGCTAAAGTAGGAAGATTAAAAATTTGAGGCCAGCCTGGGCAATTTAGTGAGACCCTGTCTCAAAATCTGTCTAGCAGATGGGAATCTGTCTAGCATAGCTAGGTATCTGTCTAGTATGCATGAATCCCTGGGTTTAACCTCAAGTACCTTCAGCAAAAAGGGAAGGAATGAAGGGAGGCCAAGAGAGAGGGAGGGAAGGAAAAGAAAAGAAAATAAAGAAAAGGAAAGGCAAGAAAATAAGACTTAAATATGTTCCCTCCAAAATTCAAGGGTTGCCAATATGGGAGTATTGAAAGACAGCCTACAGAGATAAGTAGGCCATGAGGGTTCCTCCATTGTGAATGGGATTAAGACATTTAGAAATGAGTGTCCTTATAGCATTGCACTTCTGACTTCTGTCCTGTGAGCACAGAGCACTCATCTCCAAAAGATGCGCCCTCATCTGACAGCCAAACTTATGCCGGTGCCTTGGTTTTTAGACTTCATAGTCTTCACAGTTGTGAGAAATAAATATCTGAAATCACCCAGTTTGTGGTATTCTATTACAGCAGCACAGTCTCAAACAGAAGTTTGGAGGAAGTTTCCTCTAAGTGAAGTCAGCCCAGTGCCAAGGGCTGAGGCAGTCATCACCAGGCAGTAGGTGACATTAGATATCTTACTGGAGGAGGTCCCCTCAAAAGGGGTCTTTGGTAGGTACAGCTGAAGAATGATGTTGAGTTTAGAGAGGCAGGGACGGAGAGGATGTGGGGGAGGAATATGCAAATGAAAAGCAGTAGACTGTGTAGTGTGCTTGGCCACCAAGAGTCTGCATCCTGTGTTAACAGCAGGAAAGGGAAGAAAGAGTAATGAGTAGGCATGAGGCTGAGGATGAGCCAGAGATCTAGTGGAAATACCAGCCACAGTGAGTGGGAAGGGAGCTGGGGTACATAAAAGTCAGAGAGTAATAGTGGAAGTGGGGAACATAACCCCAAATCTGGCAACAAGAAGCAATGCTTTGTTTCAGACAGTTAATGCAAGGGGCAAAGAGTTGTGTTCTGGAGTCAGGTTCAGGTTCCATCCCCTCCTAAATGAATGACTAAGTGAGCTGCTTCATTCCTTTGAAACTCAGTTTCCTCCTATAGGCTAATGTAAGGCTCAAGTGATTCACACACAGCCTGTATAGCAGTGCCTGGAGCATAATATACACTTGATAACCTTAGCTATTATTATCACCACAGTGTTTGACCTGTTTGTCATCAAGAATCTTTCATAATCAATAATTGCTCCAAATTTGTCTCTAATTTGAATTTTTCTTTAGGGATGACATGATACTGTTAGGGTTACAAAGGTCAAACATACTCAGGTATCCACAGCAAGAAAGTCTGGGGAACAATTTAATATATATTTTTATTTACGTTTCAATATGGAAAGCTAAATTCAACATGAAGTCTGTTTCCTAAACTGGAGAGATATTAGAGGGTGTGGTAAGGTAATACTTAGCTACCCAACTAGGTTACTGACCTCAAGCCTAGTTGGAATGTTAATTTGCTACAGTTAATGATTTAATGAATAACCACACACATAGGCCCTGGGGTCTAAGTTCACCAGAATGGCTCTTGTGAAGCAGAAGGTCAAAATAAGGCAGCTAGAAAATTTATTTTGTTAACTACAACACACATGGTAGAATAAAGGATCTGTAATTTTCTTTCTTGATAATTAATTTCAACTTCACCAACATTAATGTCTTTGTCAGTCTCATTTTACAAAGGTTGCAGAGAGGGGGCCTGAGTTCAGTGGCACAGAATCTGCCTGGCAAACGCTGAGGTCCTGAGTTTGATTCCCAGTACAAAAAAAAAAAAAAAAAAAAGTGTTTACTTTTCCAAAAGGTTGCAGAGTGGGGAGGCATTTCCTTATGCATTTTCATCTGATGAAGCAATCTGTCTACAGCTGGGTATATTGAGGAGATTAACATCCTTGAGTAATACCCTTTTTCAGGCGGGGGTGGGGAGTTTTCCAGGAATCAAACTCAGGACCTCAGGCTTCCCAGGCAGGCGCTGAGCCACTAAACTAAATCCCCAGCCTCCCTTAAGTAGTCTTAAGCATAATCAGCTCTCCTTATCCATGGATTCTACATCTACATATTCAATAGTGAATCAAAAATATTTGAAAACTAAATTCTGACTGTACTGAACATATAAATTTTTCCTCATCTCTATTTTTAAACAATATAACAAATATTTGCATAGCATTTACATTGTATTAGATACCCTAAGTAATCTAGAGATGACTTAAAGTATGAGAGAATATACATCAGGGTCATATGAAAAAATATTATGCCATTTTTAAAAAGGACTTGAGCATCCTCAGATTTTGGTGTTCACGTGTGAGTTCTGGAACCAATCTCTCACAGATACCAAAGGATAACTATTTATCACAAATTCTTTGAGGATAAAAACTGCATGCCTGGTGATCAGTTTTGGTTAACAGTGTAGTCTGAGAGAGTGACAAAGTCACTTTTAAGGAAAAAAAAAAAGGCAACCACTGTTTTCTTTGTCCTGCTCATTTCTCCAGTACTCCTGCACTGGGGACATCCTTAATCACCAAGAATCAAGCACCCAATCATCAGTGCAACAGAAAGAGAACAACTATCAAAGAAAGAATGCATTAAGACACAAGTGGTAAAAGCATAACACAACTGCCTAGAAGCTGACATTACTAATGATCTGAAGAATAAAAGTAAGAGAAATAACTCACTTGGGCTAGCTCATAAATGTTCTAAAAACATCTTTTCACTTTGCATTGCACTTTTCCTCATAACTAGGTCTACATGGCCAAGTTCTATGAAAATTACTTAAACTAAAACACACATCAGTCAATAAGGAGAATGAAAATTAAAAGTACTCTTAACCTATTAAATAACCAGGGCTTACAAATTTAGAGATGTGTTATTTTACAATTACCAATCGTTTCTGCAGAGCAAAAGTTTGGTAAAAAATGAACAGTTTTACCTATTCACACTAAGACACTTAGGATGAGTTTAAGTCTGTCCATTACCATGCAAAACAAATAATCACCATAACTCATTTGTTGTAGGTGATCTTCTATTTGATGATAAATCACAGATTCTAAAAGCAAGTGACTGTTGGAAAAAATTTAACCTCTTTTTTAAAAAAATGAAGTCCCAAACAATAAAATACAAGACAGATTTATCCAAGGAGGTGAAAAAACAAAGGGTGGCTGTTTGATTTGACCTTGATTAGAACCCCAGTCTAATGAAATCAATTTTTAGAAGAGCCCTCCCCACCTTTCTCTCCTACTGTCTCTCTCTTTCCCTCTCCCATGCTCCCTGCTTTCTATCAGCCATGTATTAAGTGTGCTGCCATCACAACCAAATGTGGGTAACTGCTCACTCACTTAGTGACCATGCGGTTTTATTTTCTCTTAATGTCTGAACTGGGTGTTATAAATGCTGCCCTGCTGAATGCTAACACAGGCCACAAGCTTCAGAGTCCAGAGCTCCCTCCTCTAAACAACCCTTGAGCTGTGGTTTAATACCATGAGTCCTCACCAAGGCCCCAAAGTGAAAGGCTGCACTGCGTACAACCATCAGCAGCCGGGAAGGTAGTACAGTATTCCAAGTACAGTTTTCCATTTGTTCTTTTGCTCATTCATTCAATCACTTCCCCAACAAATTAAACATGCATTGAGTCCTTACTGAAGGACCTAAAGTAAGGGTTGAAACACATGGGTAGAAAAACATTGCTCTAGCTACAGAAACAGTGAGATAAAAACTTTTCCTTCAATGTCAACCTCAGCCTCATCTGTGAAAAGGAAACACTGTACTATAATGTAGTAATAATGCCACTTCACAGGGCTGCTGTGAGTACTAATATGAGTTAGTATACATAAAGTGAGAAATACAAAAGAGGAAAGCTTCTGAGAGGGTCTTGAGCAGTGCTCAGGGATAGCTCAAAGAGTAAACTGAGGAATGTCATAAATAATTAAGCAGGTTTGTGGCAGGTTGGC